TGGCGAAGTTCCTGAATAAAGATTCCATATGCTGCATAAGTGTCTCAAATCGTCAACTTGTCGGTTTTTCAAACCATTCATCCACAACTGTCAGTACGGCAGCATCTTGGGTCTTGTTACAAGAATTCTTCAACACTTGATCAAAACCTTTGGAGGAAGGACCTATTCGACTAGTGGATGGTACCACTATGACCCGCCCTCCATCTGGCTTCACGTCACCTCACTTCAGTATATAAGACACGTTTACGGCCCTATGCTGTACATTCTACAAGATTGATGGACTGAACACAATCGACTCCAGGTTGAGGACTGATTACCTCATTTCCTCCCATATTACGCCTTCCTCTTTGTATTGGATGATGAAGCCACTGTGTGGCGAACGTTTTCCTGAATAAAGATTCCCATATGCTGCATAAAGTGTCTTCAACTCTGAAACTTGTCGGTTTTTCAAACCATTCATCACTTGAATTTAAGTTAAACTATATTACTGTCACGGGGGACATGGTTATTAAAACAGTTAGACAATTACTGAAAAACAAAATAAGTTCCCCTGGACCGGATGAGTTGTTTTCAAGGGTACTTAAGGAAGCAAAGATGGAGCTTTAGTCAGCCATTTTAACGAGTGTATTCAATGCGTCCATCCATACCAGAGTTGTGCCAGAGATGTGGACGATTGCAATGTGGTTCTTATTACAATCAGGGGAATAAGTCCACTCCTTTCAAATACCGTCAATAAGCTGACATCTATAGAGGGCAAGTATTAGAAACAATTATAGCTGACATTTTCAGAAGTCACCTGAAGAGCATAACTTGATAAATGAATATCAGCATGGATTCACGAGTGGTCGTCCTGCCTGACAAATTTACTGACGTTTTCATTAGAAAACATATGAGTCAGTTGACAGTGATAAGGAATATGATATTGTTTATTTGGACTTTTGTAAAGCTTTCGACAGAGTACTCACAAGAGACCTCTTAAAGAAAAGTGGCAGCCAGGTTTTAGGAGGTAAAGTTTCTAGCATGGATTGAGGCATGGCTTACCATAGAAAGCAGAGTGTTACCTTTAATGGAGTGAAATCTGCCGAAGGGATTAGTCACTAGTGGCGCGATCCACAAGGATCAGTTTTAGGCCCTCTCTTGTTATAATTTTACATTAATGACCTTGATGAAGGGGATTAATAGTGACATGAGTAAGTTTGCTGATGATACAAAGAATAGGCGTATAATTCACTTGAGGAGGGTATCAATGAACTCCAGGACGATTTGAACAATTAATGTCTTGGTCTGAGAAATGGCAGATGAAGTTTAATGTGGATAAGTGGTAAGGTACTTGCCCTTGGTAATGAAAATTAACCCTGAAGCTAATAATCTAGGTGAAGTAGAGCTTGGTCTCCTACAGAATGTGAAAAAGATTGGAGTCATGTAAGCAGAAATCTTAAGCCAAAGGACAGCAGTGCCTCAGTTGTGCGCAACAAGGACAATGATTACTTGGATTTATCTCTACGAATGTATAGATAACAGATGTCCAAAAGTTATTTTTACAGCTCTTTACAGCATAGTGGGCCACATTTAGATTATTCTGCTAGTTTTGGTCCCTTACTACAGCTGATGGACAT